TGGGGCCCTTGAGGGGAGGGATGGAGTGGGAGTGGGGCTGGGGCACATGCTGCCCAGCTGAGGCAGGGTGTGGAATGGAGCTGGTGGCTCATCCAGGGGGTGTTACTACCTGCCCACCTGACCTGAGTCCAGCCACCAGGAAGAAGCCAGAGCAGCCCTGGCCCGGAGCATGCAGCCCACCCTTGCCCTACACACAAATCCAGGGGGCACATTCCCCACATGCCTCCCCTGGGAGTACACACAGCAGTAGAAGCCACCCCCACCCGTCCCCCTAGATGAGCCACTGCTCCATCCTGCGCCCCACCCCAGCTGGGCAGCACCTACCCCAGCACCCACTCCCTCCCTCACCGTGGGGACATTGAAGCCCCTTCCCACCCCCCCACAGATTTACCAGCCAGCTGTTGTTCTCCATGCTGCCACGCTGCATATCAGCAATCAGACTGGGATCGGCAGATATGGCTGGTCAATAATTGGCCATCAGTATCAGCCCAAAATTTTTTTATCCATGCATCCCTAATTTTTATAGCCAGAGACTCTTTTGCATATGTTTTAATACAGTGATTCTCAAACAGGGTGCTGATGTGTAAACCTGAATCACAAGATAATCCCAGAGATTTCAAATAGGAATCCATACTGCTAAAAACATTCTGACCTCTTATGGTCTGAGCGCTCTGAAACAGAAGAATTACTCTATTATTTTTCTGTAGTCAAAAAAAAATCAATTGAAAACTAAGAGCTAACATTTTCTGAGGGGTGCCTTGAGTCTATCAAGGTTGAGAACTACTGTTTTAATATCGTTTGCAACATCTAGTTCAACTTCACTTTTTGCAGTTCCCCACTGTATTTCATTTCTTGACCTCCAAGGCTCAGTTTTCTTTTTGCAGATCAGTCCTTTTTTCCATTTCTTGCATGTTCTCTGCTTATTCCTAATATCCTTTGTGAGGTGGTTATTCATTCAGTTTGGTCTGAAGCCCCTTCCTACGGCTTTTCCCCCTTGCTTGAGATACAAGTACCTGAGAGTATTCACAGAGGTCTAACTAGGAATTTTGGTACCCTTGAGCAGAGGTGGAGATCCCAGAGAGTGGGGCTGCTAAGTGCCAGAGTCTTCTAGAATACAGGGCATAGGGCAACATGGGCACTCCTAAACCAGTGCTCAGGGCTGATGAACAGTTTGCCTATCCTTGGTCACACTGAGGAGTCTCAGCACCTACAATTCTAAAAAATTCCAGACCTCCTTGAGCAGTTGCAGACCATAGTCCAGTTCACAAACTAGTTCCCTTTATTGTTTTCCCATTTGAACTCAAAAACCTTAGTTGTAGACCTCTTTTAGTTTATCTTTCCATTTAATTTTTTCCCAAATCAATTCATGACCCACTCAATCCAAAACTGCACAAACTCCTGGCTAAGAACTTCTAAGACAAAGCATCTGCTCTGAAGATTTTAAAACAAGATAATAGGTTTCATAACTTGAATTAGAGCAGACAATGTTGAGAGAAGGTGAAAATAGGCTTCCTGCACAACAAAATAATGCGTTTTGATACAAGTGCAACTCTAACGATGTGAAAAGTAGCATAGGGTCATCACATGAACTCTATGAGGAGAGAAAGGCAAAGCAGTGAAGCCTATAAAAGAAAACTGTGGAGACAGTATGAATGCACAACAAGCCTCCACACAGACCTACCAGGAAAGATTAAGTACTAGAACAAATGACAGAAGCAAGGCATGTCAGTGTGGTAGAGGCAGTCTTTTATTAGACCAACTAGATAGTTGGAAAAAAAAAGCTACAACCTTTATCCCAGAAGCAAGGCATGAAAGATCAAGTTGGAATTCATTCTTCCTCTTATTAACCAGCCACTAGTGAGAGCTAGGACAGGCTGGAATGCATGACAAAGGGCAAGGACTTGATCCATCAGCCCAACAATCAGTGTAATTTCTGGACTGGACTGCAGTTAGCAACCTAAAAGTGAAACAGTCTATATTCTTGGTCTTTGGAATCAGCCAGTCCCCATTAACAGAACTTTATAGGACAATTTTTTGTTTTTTAGAAGAACATCTCCAATGATTAATTTAGTTCCTTTCTGCTTCTGTGTTTTGTACAGCACTAAGCAGTTAGAAATTGCATAAAATCCTGACAACAAAAAAGAATTCTGCGCGTGTTTTTGCTTCCAGTTTCATCTGCTCTGTAGCAATATGCTAAATAATGGGGCCATGGCATAACCTTAAATAGAGACCCGATTATTATGAAGTTTAAGGTTGATATCAAATGGCCAGATCCCAAACTCAGAAAATGAGCTTTGCTTGAAGCTCTGAAAATTTTTCCACATCTAAACAAGATGGTAGATTAGCAATGGGATCTAGATATCTAGTTCCAACATAACCCAATTCATCTGATGCCTGACTAGTGCCATGGAATATGCAGGTTAAAAGTCCAATTGTAATATTGGCCGTATTAAAGTAACAATCACCATCACCACTAAGTGGAGGCCTTGTTGGCAGCCAAATAAAAAAAAGGGGGGAGCAGGGGGTAGAGACAGGAAGACCAAATAGGTTTCTCACCCCTAGATATTGTCAATTTATGGCATGCAGGAGTCAAACTAGCAAGAAAAAGTATGAGGGCAGAGAAAATTTACCCCACCACTGCTCACACTGGACCTACTGCAAAGTTGCCAGTCCCAATCTGACATTTTTCAGAGACCCAAATTAGTTCTATGTGGTCTATTAATGCAGGTTCTTATCCCAGTACCCATGGCTGCAGTACATGAATAAGACTCCAAAATACTCTAAACCAGGGGTGTCAAAGATACAGCCCGTGGACTAGGTGTGGTCCCTGGAGCCCTGTCAACCAGACCATGGTGCTGCTTGCATGCAGTGTGCCCCAGACTAGCCTGCATGTCTCGTGTAGCACATACCAGCCCCAGCCCTGAGTGCTGCAGTGCATGAGACTGATCTGTACACAGCACTTGGCATTGCACTGGCCCCGCACACTGAGTCTAACATGTAGGGCCAAGCTGAGAGCCTGATCCAGCCTGTGGACCAGCCCCATGCCACTCATCAAGCCCACAGGGTCTAATGAGTTTGATATCCCTGCTGTAAGCATTGCCATACATGCAGGCAACTGGATCAAATGAAATGTAAACTGGATTCAAAGGTGATTACAACCAACTGTAACTTTATAGCTACCTATATTGATAAAATATATGGCAAAACAGAAGATAGGGAGAATGATATTCAACAAATCAGTGTCTGTTCTTCGGGGGGGGTTACAAGAATAAGTGTGGTTAAAACTTGATCGAGCATGTATCAGACCAAGCTATACTGGACCATTTGCAATATCCATGCAGAAATCCTGCATGTCAACATCACTCCTTGCCCATGGCTACCTGATCTAGCTACAATATGTGGTTTAATTACGTAATAAACCTGCAGCTCAGCCCCCAGCTGCTACTGTGCCATCCAGCTGGCAAGCACTAGTTTTGAATTCCAACCTCCCTGAGCAATTACATAAAGGAGTGTGCAGCACTATCTGAAGCTAGTAACCACTTCCAGAGATACTGGCATCGCCCAAATTCTCTATCCACCTTCCTACTGTTCTCAAGAGATGGGGCAGTTCATCAGAATGCTCTTGTCTAGCAACATCTATTTTAGCAGCAGGAGTAAGTCCAGTTAGTCTCAAGTAGCAGTGCTGTTACAGAAGGGCTAGTGCTCTGATGAAAAGCTATAGATTTGGTGTTTCCCTTAGCTTATTGGGTACGTCTAAATAGGCTTGAGCACATGGCCCTCTTATAAAAACAAACTGCATGAGAGCCCTGTTAATTACTGAGCTGAAGAGGCATGGGAAGAGCAAGCTTGAGTGACCAAATAAATGGAGCCCCAGGTATCTCCTTTTATTTCTGCCATGGGAAGAGAGCAAGCATGTGCATTTCACACACACTTTATTAACGCCATGAATTCAGTCAAACCCAACTCAAAACTTTCTGCAGATGGGGGAGGATTTGGGGGGGGGGGGCAGGCACGACAGGGGAAGATTTGTAGCTGCATGTTTAAGAAAGAAGCTAAATTCATCACAATGACAGGGGAGAGTGTTGGCAGAGATTTGAGCTATTTATTCTTTTAGGAAAATCCTATAAAGAATGACACAAGGAAGCCTCTATCTGCAGTCTTGTTCATCACGCTGGTGAGGAGTCCGATAACAGATGTATGCAGTAGCGTGATTTAGTGCCGGGAGCTGGCCCCTGATGTGTATTAATACAGCAGCAAAGCGGAACGAGCCCCTCTTCATCACTCATCTCTATAAAAGAGGTGGAATCCGAGATGGCCCGATGTTAGGCAGAGCAAGCCCATTTGTTCTGCTGACTGATGGAGCCAGCTCGGGCTGTGTCCTTCACCTCCGTGGGGCACTCAGGTTGCAAAAAAGAAGATTGCTGAAGCATGACCTGGTCAACAAGTGAGACGAGAGCAGTTGGACTCAGCCAAGGAGCTATTTTAAGGAGGAGAAATCTAGCACTGTGTTCATGCCTGTTCCCTTCCCTCAGATGCATTCTCATTCACCCCTGTGAATCATCTTTCATACAAGGAATAGGATTCTTCCAATAAAAGAAATATCTGCAGTGAAAGAAAGTGAGGTTACCAAGCTAACCCAGGGATTGGGAAACCCAAGTTACTAAATAAATGTCATTAACTAGTGACTGTGTGAAGGAAGAAGTCTGCACTAACATACTGTTGCCTTACAAATAGAAGGCTACATTTAATTAATTCTGCATATAATTTTAAAAGTATTCCTGGGCATTTCATTAAAGCACCTGTTAGCAGTCTGCAGTCATACTGCCTCTGAGGGAGATTACATCAGATTTCATAAGCACCAACAGAGATGTATATCTAGTATATGAACAGTAGGTCTCTACTGAGAAACAGGTACTAGAGGAAGCAGTTTCAGTTATCTAGTAAAGGAAGCTCTTTCCTGGAAAGTAATACTGAACCAAATCCCCCTACCACTTGGTACCAGTGGACAGGCTACATTTAAATAGGATGCAAGACAGATGCTTATTGTTTTTGGTCATTAAATATGTTGTGGCACTTTCCCTATAAGTTATTATATTTATAGAAGCATCCTGTGCAGATTCCAACAATTACATTCTGCTTTCCTCAGTTACACTAGATATGCTATTTTTCTCCCTTCCTAACTGTAACTGCCAGTGTTGTGTGCTGTTTTCCAGCTGTCAGACTCCACTCTAGACACAGATGCATTTCACTTTTTGGGAGAAGTGATACCTATATAGGTATATATACCTATATAGTTTGCATAAGCAGTCAAGTACAATTTGTGAAGTGCTTAGGATTTAAAGCCATAGAAAGAGATCAGCAGATCAGCAATGCACCACAAAAGCTGCATACCAAACAAGAAAGAGGCTGAAAGAAAGAAAGGATGCAAGAGTGAAGACCATCATAGGACAGAGTTCTGACAAAGAACCCTATAGCACACCCTCCTTAGCTATACAGATCCATTTTTATTAAAACTCACAACAGAATTCAAATCATCTTTGTGTAATCTACAAAGCCAGCAATGGACATCCTAAATTCACAGTAGCCAAGTATTAATGTTGGCGAATAAAGACCTTACCAAACTGGCACTCTTCATGAGGGTAAGAAGAGAATAGGGGGAAGATAAAGAAGCAGAGATCCAGCTGAATGGTACAGATGCATAACATATTCTGGCCTGGGCAGGTTACCTGACTTTCTTTCAGCTTCATTATTCTTATTCATCCACCAGCATGCAGAAAAGGCGGCAGCTTAATTCTACCCACCCGCTCTAGTTTCTATGGTCCTCCCTGCCATTTCCTACACCTCAGTCTTCTCTCTCTCTCTCCAAACCCCTCCGGGTCAAACTTTCTTGCTATTTGTTCATAATGATAATTTGCTCATGAGCCAGAACGAAAATATGGGCCACATGGTAACTGCTTGAAGAAATAAAGAATTTTGGGGAGACAGGTGGGCTGGCACTCAACTCAAGCAGGTGTCTCCCCACCCCCTAAAAGCTTTTCTGATCCTTAGACTCACACCTGTATCAGAGCAACTGCTCACAAGACCTTGAAAAACAAAAGTCACTTCAAGTATTATCAATCTGGAAAGAAACTGGCACTCTTGGCATTACACTCTTGAATTAAGATGGATAACAAAGGCCATATTTACTTGTAGTGGCAAGTACTGCCAAGTGGAGTTGGACCCTCAGTGTCCATTCAGGAAATGGCATTACATTTAGTGAGGGTTCTATTCTTGTGGAAGCTCCCAGAAACAACAGCAAAACACCAGGGCACACCAGACATTAAGAGGCGTAACCTCATCAGTTACAACACAGCATGGCTTCATGTGAGAACAAAGGAAATAATGGCACAGAATACTGCAGTACATGACATAGCAATACAAACAACATTAACTCTAAGGTATATTGCCATGTGATCATTCACTGGGCAGCTCTTTTACCTGCTGTGCAAATGTTCAATGCCACTAACTCATAACACACTTGTCTCATCCCTGGCATGTTTCATTTAACTATAAGCCAACAATGCTATTGAAAATACTGAGCTATCTTTAGATAGTGCTCCCTTACCTCCAACCCTGCTGTCCTCAGGAACTCTCACCTTAGCTCAACACCAAGATATTTACCTAATGATTTTAGATGTCTAACCTGAAATACCTGGAAAGTGAATGATTTTCAAAAGGACAAATAGTCTAGTCTTTCTGAAAATCAGGACCCTCAAATGCAGGATGTAAACTAGGGCTGTGCAAAGCTTTGGTAGCCAATTCAATTTGGAGGAGATTCAGCCCGATTCTCCCGATTCCAAATCCGAATCAAATAGGGAGACCCATTAAAAAGACCGAATCGAATCAGAAGCCTCCGAATTGATGCAGAGATTTGGGTGGTCCCCGCTTGCCACCGCAGGGAGCTGGACCCGGGCTCCGTGCCAGTAAGTAGGGGGCAGAGGGGCTGCAGGAGAAGGGAGGGAACCAGAGTGGGGGGGGACCCCTACCCAGCCCCATCCCCCACTGGCTCCCCTCCCCCCTGCCCAAAGCACCCTCCCACCCAGCCCCACCCCCA